CGCCGGGATCGACAAAGCAAGAATACGAAAGCGAGAATCGAAAACACGACACACGATTTACGTGGTTCACTAACACGATGTGTGTTAGCTACGTCCACGGGCGAGAGAGAGCCGATTTCACTATATCAAGGAGATTACAGATTACAGAGGAGTATGAGAAATATATATAGTACTTCTCCATGTGGGTCTAAACCTAATCCAATCTAGCAAAGGAAACGGTTACAGACCAGGCCCAGAAACCGAACCCAAATAACATTGAGCCCATACACCGTGGGCCGGGGGCGTTGCCCCCGCACCCCACCGGGACGTTGCCCGACCCCACTCGCTGACCGGGCAGCGAGACCCCCGATTACCAGTCGTAGCGGCTGATAGTCCGATTCAAGTCATATCAACAAACTACATTGGAAAACTTTTGTTGAAAACCCCGTCCGAACATGTTCTTCTCACAAGGTGATGATGACGACAATTGGCCTTAGATGAGGTGGTAGGCTCCACCGATATGTTTGTTTTAGATTTAAGTGTTTGAAAAATAAAAGATAAATTAAGGGTATTGGAGTAAATTTAACATAATTAGGGCGACAAATAAGGATTTTTAGGGCGACGAATAGCAATCCCCATACAGCTTACATGGATATTTACATTTTGGTACTCTTAATTATATAATAAACACTTTCTCCTCCTCTTCATCAAACTCATATGTCTTTCTGGTACCATCTCTTCGTCCTTCCCCATTGGTTCTTCACATATTTCTTTGATAGTACCTTCTAGTCTCTTAAAACCATCATTCATCATCCCAGTGATATTTTTCAATCGAACTGACAACTGCTCCAATGTATCACGCATGGATTTCTGATAGTCATTGAATTCTTTTCGACACATCACCATCTGCTCTTGTGTGGCTTCCGATACTTTCATAATTTCACCCTCATCGCGTTGTTGTTCCGCATCATGCGCCATCGTCTAATCAATTTAAATAAAAAATTCAAATCATAATTCAACTTCAAATTTGTACAAATGAACAACAACAGAGACGTGGTCGACCAAAAATATTATGCGGTCGATCTTAAAGACATAATTCGTAACTACTAGAACCATTTAGATCGACCTTTGACCTTCTGCATTCGACCCATCAATTAGAATAATATCAATTTACTAACAAAATGTCTCTAATATTACCACAAACATTTTTTTTTTATGATAATGGTGAATAGATTAAAATAAGTAAAAGAAACTATTCGAATAGAAAAAAACTAAATTTACAAGCGAACAAAATGCAACAGGGGTTCAAAAGGATTGAACCACAAGAGCCAAACAACAAACAGACAAACAAAATCCCAACTAAGTGGATCGAGCATCTTCTGAAGGGAAACAAGAAACAAAATGCAACAATAGACAAGCAGCAAAGGCTAGATGGATTAGGCCATCCTTGCCAGAGGACAAAGTATCAAGACAGCGAGCAACAGATAAGCCCGATGTTGCAGCAGAGACGAAACAAAGCATCCACGCAGAAGTCAAAGATAAAGCCAAGCTCCAATCAATAGCAACGACAGCGAACAGAAAAATGCGCACTTCCACAGCCGAGCATGAACACATCCAATGCAGCAACATTCTAGCAGCAAAGTGACAGCAAACATCCACCACCAGCTCCTCCCATGCCAAAGTAAACACGCATATCAAAAGAACAACAAACCCACCACATCACATCCCATACACAAGAGTCGGCTCCCACCAAATCCACCAGTAACACGCAACGACAACATTGTCATCCACCCTCCCTCACACATTCAGGGAGCAAGGCTCCCACATCACCACCCAAGAGGTCATCTTCCGAGAACGTTCTCCCTCAGCCATCTAGCTCCAGCTTCTCTATTAATTCTTCCATGGGCAATGATCTAGGCCAAAGAGCTGTGCAACGCCTTTCTAGCCACCATGAGAGGCGTCCCTTTTTTCTCCTCAAACACACATTGATTCCTTTCTAGCAATACGAACCACCAAACAACATGAAGAATGACAAAGTTGAACCACCTCTTTTTTCCTCCTCCGGACCAAGCCATTGCTTGATGATCGAAACAATGTTCCAATCCAGAAAGTTCAAAGATCGCCCATTGCACAAGCTGTTCCTTCAAATTTCCTTGACAAAATCACATTCCACAAAAATATGAAGGGTTGTTTCTTCTTTGGCATGACACAAAGCATGCATGTTCGCCAAATTCCATCCTCTCCTTTTCAGGTTGTTCAACGTTAGCACTCTATTATGATAAACCAGCCAAATGAAGAAACACACTTTACTCAGGATAATTTTTTTCCAAATTTCCTTTGCCGAAAAGTCCTACACGCTGCAGAACTCGCCTAAAGCAGGTCGCATGTACGTCGAGCTCACCTAGAAGCGTAGATCAGATTCAATGTTCCATGTGATCCTGCAAGGACTAAATGTATTTCGATAGAAAACAATAGAATCCAATAAACCAATAAGATCAGTGCTTTCCTTCTCAAGCCCTCCCGAAGATTAAATTTAAAATTAATGTTCCAACTCCCCGCCTCACCGAAAAAGTTTGCAACGTTGGAAAGGAGATCATCTGGACCAGAGGGAGCAACGGCAGCGCGGCGAAACAAGTCAACAAGCACAATCTTAGGGATCCAACAATCATGCCAAAACGAAACCATATTACCATTTTTCTGCGTCGATACAAGCAGACCTCTAGAAGAGATCATACTCTTCGCTGATATTTGCCCACACCGAACTGGAGAACCCTCCTCTAGCTCTTATCGTCTGCCAACACGAAGAATTATTGGGATACATGCAGTTAACCAAATCCCGCCACCAACTACCCTTCCCCACTGCGAACTTACAACACCATTTCAAAAGCATAGCATCATTAAACATTTTCAAATCATGGATGCCCAGCCCGCCATTACCGAATTCAGCCTTACACATGTTCCCATCCATAAGAGCCATCTTATGATCATCTGTCCTCCCATTCTAGAGAAAATTTCTTTGAAATTTCTCAAGATCTTTGATGATCGACATTGGAGCCTTAAAAAGTGAGAAAAATATGAAGGAGTACTTTGAAAGAACCGATTTGACCAACACTAACCTTGCTCCATACGACAAACACCGACTCCTTCATCCACTTAACTTATTCTGGTACTTCTCTTTGATGGGATTTCAAATAGTTGCATCATTCAGTTTTGCGCCTAGAGGGAAGCCAAGGTACTTCGGCGTTTCACTACTCCACTTGCAGCCAAAAATGGCAGCAAAAAAGCTTGGTTCCAGAACATCCCCCATAGTATACACTAACCTTGCTCCATACGAACAACTGATAGCTCGACCATCCATATTGTTCGGTCAACCTTCTAAGCATAACAAAGTCTTACAAACAAAGCCAAAATCGACATTCTGGACAAACAAACAAAACTAACACATGTGGTCGACCATGATAAGAATTAGATCGACCTATTGGGTTTGATCTTCCTTACCTCGAATGAACAGAAGTCTGAGTGTTGTGCTCTAAGTTCAATTGTCACAATTGTTCAACAGAGGTCGACCTGATTGTGAGAGTGGCCGCCCGAATGTTCTTATGTAAGCAAAAAAAAAAAACATCAAATTAAACGAAATAGCGGCGAGGACTACATTAGCTAAAATCGACCGACCTTACCTTGCAAGTGGTTGACCGTGTACAACATGTACAACAACAACCACCACGATCTTACCTAGCAAGTGGTTGACCGTGTACAACATGTACAACATGTACAACAACAACCGACCTTACCTTGCAAGTGGTTGACCGTGTACAACAAGTGGTCTAACCCTAGAAGAAAATGAATCCAATGTTTGAGTGGCGGTGAAGGTGACATATATTCTTATTTATTGATATTTAGGATGAGAGTAGGGCGAGTTAGGTGGGAGACAAGTTAGAGTTACCTTTCTAGTGCTGTAATCCTTATTCAATACGGATACATTGTGTAAGCGGTCGACCACGTACTTCACATGTCTACCTTTTATACTATTTGCGGAAATAATTCCGAGTTGATATTGATAAGTTAATGCAATAGAGGTAAACCTTTTAATGCACAAGGTCGGCCGTTTTAGAAATGAGGTAGGCCATTTGATGTATAAAGGTCAACCGCATTGTTGAACGTCACAGAACGAAATCAGTAGATTCGGTCGACCGAATCGGGCAAGTTACGGTGACTTGCAAGTCATTGTAGCGAAGTCCATAAGTTTATTGTTTGGTTACCATTTCGTTTTATAAACATTAAAATTATACACTTTTGTTTTGATAAATTGTAGAAGGAATAAATTAATTATAGACATCAAATTTTGTTAATACGCTAACTATACACGCTTTTTCACGGTTTATAAGGTATGAATCGGATTGAACTATATAAAGGCCTTTTATTGTGCTATAAAATATTGGTGTTTTGTATCTTTATGTTATCGTACAAGAAGGTACAAATTCAATTATACTTTATGGTTCAATTTGTGTCATAACATAAATGTATAAATGTCGAGGAAGTTGAGATCATCTCATCGCTGAACCACAAGAACACCATTACACCAAACCACTTGTTGGGATCAGCATAATGACTCTGATCTCATTTATGTATATCACTTTTTACCAAAGGGAAGCTTAGCAGAGAACCTCCACAGTAAAAACAAGGACAAATCTTTACTTTCAAAGTTGCAGAAGCATTGAACATTTGAACTATTGTAAAAATGGGAAGAGCTAGTTATTTTCGGTAGAATTTGCAGACATGAAGAACAACTAACTTGCATTCTACTGTAATTGGATTATGAACTAACTGGTTACATAAATGACATTGTTTGATTATAATCTGACGTCAAATAAATTGAACCCAAAAATCAGAATAACGACTACTTGCATTCTACTGTAAATCTGAAATACTCTTTAATCCGGCAAGCCATGGATGTCACACTCTGCCTCTGTTTCAAGTGATACCGAGAGGTAATCAACAGGAGGGCAGAGCTCGAACTATCACTAGCACAAAGACACCATTCCTCCCATCACCGGCTGAGTCATCATCGACCCACAAGCCCGCAAACGCCAAGCCGTCGAAGCCGCCGGCGCCGCCATCGCCGGCGGTACCCCGGCCTCGATGATCTCCATCTCAGAGGATGCTCTGCTTCCTTCTTTCCTTCTCACCGAGCACATCACAAGATCCGTGGCGACGCAGCCGAGTACGCCGTCGAGGCGGTACTCCGTCATCGAGAACCCATCCCCTCCGTCCTTCCTCCTCGCCGGCACCACCTCCCCGCCGCCGGCCGCCGATCTCTGGTTGGGACGGTAGGTAAAAGTACGCTTCGACCCGATCTGGACGTTCTGGCCGGGGAGAAAAACAGGGTCATCCTTGCTCGACCGCCACGTGGCCTTGGAGCCAACGGTCCTCTCAACCCTACCGCCGCCGCCGCCGCAGCCCAATTCCCCCTTCTTCGTCTTCGCCTTCCTCAATCTGGTGAAGAAATACAACTCCGGCTCCCCTGTTTCAACGAACAGCTCCTTCCAAGCCTCGTCCTCACCGTACAGGTCGCAATCGATCACCGGATTGAAGGGCAAAGCATTGCCCATTACCTTATCGAGGAGATAAGTGATGATTTGGTCGTCTTCGGGCTCGAATCGGACCCCGGCCGCTGTTCCCGATATCCTCATTCTTACGGTGGCGGCGGTGGAGTAATTAATCCCCTTGTTTCAATTAGCCTGGTCTCGCGCGCGGAAACCCTAGATCGGAAGAACCGTTGCAACTCCCAATGCCATCGCCGCTGACCATGGTCGAACTTTCCGCGGGGAAAGGAAAGGCCGGTAATCGCAATGTGGAGAGCTGCTGATTATCGGCCGATTGTGAGGCGATTAGGGTTTGGAGACGGAGCTGCGAGGCAATTGCTATTGCGTGGTACGGATATATATAAGGCTTCGCCGGTGGACTGACTGTTGACTGTTTCCTACAAGGTTGAGGACGGGCACGTCTTCCTTTTCCGTCGCCGACAAGGAATCTGGAAAGTACGCGGAGAGATCGGTACAGTTGGGGTCACCGTTGGGGTCTTCCTTCTCATAATTTGTTTATTTCCATACCTTTTTTCCCCTTCTCATGTTCTACTTTCCCAAATCCTTTCGATAGACGTGGCAAACGGACAATCCGGTGAGTTGGATAATTTTGGATTCGACATCTTAAATTATCGATCAGGTCATGTTTGGGTTGGGTTGGCTAATTTTCTATCAAATATTGGTCGGCTAAATTACACGTTTGGTCACTCAAATTATACAAATCTTTCACATTTGTCATCCGAATTACTTTTCTTTCTTATTCGCCACTAACTTTACAAATCGTTTCACTGTTAGTCACCGGCTGTTACACTCCGTTAAATTTATCCTACGTGGCAGTCCACTATAAAGTTTGACCGTTAACTTGATGACGTGGAAATTAAAAAAAATTAAAAAAATTAAATTATTTTTCACCTCATCATTCTACTCAATTTGTCTGATTTATCATATTAATTATTTAATAAAAATTAAAAAATTATAAAAATTACTTATCAATGGGAGGAAGAAATTCCAGAGGCAAGGCATCACCGCCTGCTCCATGTTCTCGGTGTTATTGACGGTCGATACGACGGCTTTTCATCTTCTACTAGGACACTTCGTGCATTCCACCGGCTAAAGAATCAATTACCCACTCCATTTCCACAATGCTTCCTCGATGTGGCGAAACCCTAACGCTTCGTCGCCAATCGATTCGAGGAGCGGATTCTGCCCGGAAACCAAGATCTATCACAGTCTCAGATCTCTACCGCTACTTCCACCAGTAACCGCACTGCTCTCCGTCACTGGTTACGTATCTCTCTTATCAATTCCTTCCCCCTGCCAGCAATAGTCTCGGCTCTCATCGGCGACATCACTTGCAGCAGAATCTCCTTCCCCAAACTCATTTCGTGAACTGAACCCTACGCCTCGAACTCGGCCCCAGGAAAGGGAGACGCGGGTTATTTTTCAAGGTTAACGAGATTCTCATGAGTTTACTTTTCAAACTAGATCCCGTAACTGGCTTGGATCCCGACATCAAAGATTTCACTAAGCGAGTAATCAAGAACACCATCGTGTTGCAAGAGTTCCTCAAAAATCGCTAATTTGGGAGTTCAAAATCAAGAACACCTAGATTCACCAGCTACAATTGAAGCTGAAGACAACGCCTACGGCGATTCGAAGTTCGACTCTCCCGATCAACCTGAAATTCCTAGGCAGCATAACGATAAGCAGACCGAGAGTCAATCGAAGTCAATGGAGGATCTGCAAAGTTGGGCGCTGGTGGATGGAAAAGAAGAAGCAGACGGTCCAGGGTAGCTGGTAGTTGACGGCGACGGTAGGGAGGTCGGGAACCTTGGCGAGCTTGGGGACGAGGGAGGAGAAGCTCATCTATCGGTGGACGGAAACCATGTATCTCCGCTGACCTAGCGGAGGAGTTTGTCGGGCGGGCTGATAAATAATTTATTAATTTATTAATTTTTATTAAATAATTAATATTAATTAAGTGGAATAATGAGGTGGATAAAACGATTATTTTTATTTATAAGAAAAAAAAAATTAATTTTTTTTATTTCCACATCATCAATTTAACGGTCAAAATTTATAGTTGACTGCCACGTAGGATAAATTTAACGGAGTGTAACGGCCGATGACTAACGGTGAAACGATTCGGTTAGTGGCGAATAAGAAAGAAAAATAATTCGGGTGGCAAACGTGAAAGATTTGTATAATTTGAGTGACCAAATATGTAATTTAGCCAATATTGGTCCAATCCAAAACTTTTGGGTAATTTCATGCTACGAGCGTTCTCAGAAACAAAATAAATATTATTCATATTTTATTAAAGGGTTAATTGCACGGTTGGTCACTGAAATTACAAAAAACGTTCAAATTTGGTCACTCAAAATATTTAAATCCATTGGTGGTCCTTCAGTTTACTCAAACCGTTCATGTTTGGTCACTCTCCGTCCAACTTCGTTAACTTTGGCTGATGTGACAGTCAAACAGTCAACTCTCAAAGTTGACCGTTAACTTAGTGACGTGGCAACTAAAAAATTATTAAAAATTAAAAAATTAAATTTTTATATTTTCCACCTCATTATTACATTCATTAAAAAATAAAAAAAATAAAAAACCAAATATTCCCAATCCTTCCTTTGAGTCACCAGACATGGCTGGTTGCCTCGCTTCTTTTCTTGACCCAATCAACAGTACACGATTAGTACGAACGAACTCCAAAGTAGTAGAAGAAGAATACGAGTATGTTTCCCCGAACTTCCCCCAAATCCCTAATCCTGATTCATTCCCCCAATTTACTACCTCTCCGCCTCTACTCTCTTCTACTCAGTCCTCACACGACAAGAAACTGAAAAAACCCAATCCCAATCTCCTTCTTTCTTCACCATTTCCATATTATGATTTCTGACCCAAATCCTCCCCTTTCCGCCTGAATCTCTCGACCCATAAACCATGTCGATTAACCCAGAAACCCCAGAGTCCACGGCCTTGGAAATCGCCGCCCAAGTCAAGCCCTCAGCTCCTCCTCATCCTCCTTGGCAATTTCCCGGCCCAGATCCCGATGAAGAAGCCTCGCAGATCCTCCACCACCGCAACTTCCTCAGGTTCTGCGGCTGCTCCGCCGCCATCATCCTCATGGCCGCCATGCTCTTCCTCATCCTCCTCTTCACCGCCTTCCGAATCAAGGTCCCACACGTCGCCGTCGCCAGGGTCACCAGCGCCGGGCCTCAGACCCTCAACCGCCTCCGCAACAGGACCGCCACGGTTCTCGCCGACGTCAAGGTGAGGAACCCGAATGCGGCGGCGTTCAGGTTCGGCGGCGGTGAGGCGACGGTTTACTACGGGGAGACGGTGGTGGGGGGAGGCGGCAACACCGCCGGGGAGGGCGAAGGCGAGGGGGACGGTCCATATGAGCGTGGCGGTGGAGATTTCGGGGGAGAAGTTATCCGGTGTGTCGCGGCTCACGAAGGACGTTAAATACGGGTCGTTGATGATGAGTTGCGTTACGTGGGTGAGGGGAACAAGAAAGGATTGGGAATATTTGGTTTTTCATTTTTTTTATTTTTTAATGAATGTAATAATGAGGTGGAAAATATAAAATTTTAATTTTTAATAATTTTTTAGTTGCCACGTCACTAAGTTAACGGTCAACTTTGAGAGTTGACTGCCACATCAGCCAAAGTTAACGGAGTTGGACGGAGAGTGACCAAACATGAACGGTTTGAGTAAACTGAAGGACCACTAATGGATTTAAATATTTTGAGTGACCAAACTTGAACGTTTTTTGTAATTTCAGTGACCAACCGTGCAATTAACCCTTTTATTAAACAACAAAAAATTTTGCACATGTATGACAATAGTTTGTCTAACACATATCAATTTACATATTCTCGAGTCCTCACATGCTAATGAAAGAAAATATAAATTGCGCAAATCGCCCAAATAACGTCATCAGAGTAATACTACTACAAGAAGCACGTGATATTTGATTATCCCTGCATTCTAAACTTGTCTTTTATATCCTTGTGAATTTTATTAACCATCTCACCAATTTATGAGTGATTTTATCATTTTGAGAGTGAGATATGATATGAAAAGAGTTAAACAGGTTTACCTGCTGACCCATCCAACTGAAACCAAAAGATTGTGAGTTAATAGAGTTTGGACCATTCGAGTTTCGTGTTATAAAAACTTCAAATCAATTTTAATTTCTCGGACGAGTTGGAGACGGTTCAATGAGTCGAATGATAATTTGCCATGTCTACCCTTTGACTTCCTCTCATTTTCTCTACTCTAGCTTCACCAAGTAATCATGTCATGCATTAGCGCCCCGTTTTTAAAAAAAAATCAAGTCATAGATGATTGTAAAGAGATGTTAAGGTTTACATGATTAACTTTGTGTTGAAAGAGAAAATTCCCGGTCTTGCATAGCCTAACCGGAGTCGATCTCGAGCTGAGTTTGTGATGGAATTATTGTTCATGAGTTTAGATCATTAATATTGTTCATGAATTATTTTAGAGCTAGAGCTCAAAGTTTTTATGTTGAGCCGAGCTCAAACTTTTATTTTTTAACTCGTATCAAGCTCGATACAAGCTCAAACTTTCGACTGTCGAGCTCGAGGTGAGCTTAGTAAAAACTCGATCAACTCGACTCACTTGTAACCTAACTGCACTGGCACAACTATAACGACCCAAAATTGTTATTTTGGGAAAGTTATGGTTGCAAATGAGTCGAGTCGAGTTTTGACCTAGCTTGAGCTTAGCTCGTTAATAAATGAGTCAAACTCGACTTGTTTACGAAAATCATTGATTGTGCTCAACTTGAGCTCAACTCGAGCTCAACTCATCCATTAGCTTGGGAGATGGCTCGAGCTAAGGTATCTTATAATAGTAATTACGAATTAGTATCAGAGCAAACTATGATACATGATTTTTCTTTTAAATTGTAAATGAGACATATATGATTATGTTCTCAAACTCTTAAACATCATATATGGTGAGATATATAATGTAACAAAACTATGAATTATCAACAAGATAATGATAAGTTATTAATTGATTCTCTCGTAAATTGCTAGTTGAGGTAGCTCACGAGTTAAGTTCAGCAAGCCACT